CAACTAGATAAAGAAAAGTTCTTTCACTCAAAATTTAAAGAATTAAAAAGAAATAAAGTTACTGATCTAGATAAATACTCCCATATTAATAATTACTTATCAACTGAATATTATAAATGTAATGAAAATGACTAATATTATAAATAGATAAAACTGATATCAGAACTGCTCTATCAAGTTAGTAAAGAAGAAAGCTCTGATGAGAATAATTTGATATCAGAACAAAGATAATAATTAGAAGAGTTACTAAATAAATATCAAGATCTTTTTGATGAAAAATCTGAGAAAACTATAATTATTTAATATAAAATCAATACAGAAACTGAAAAACCAATAGTTTTGAAATCATATTATAGATACTCACTTATTGAGAAAGAATTCATAAAAAAAATTGAAAAAATGCTTCAACAAAATATTATTTCATCATCAGATAGTTTATGATCTGCACCTGTAGTAGTAGTCAAGAAAAAGAATGGCAAATATAGATTTTGTATAGATTATCACTAAATAAAGTTACAAAAAGAGATTAATTTCCATTATCAAGAATTAATGATCTACTTGATGCATTTGACAAAGCAAAATACTTCTTAATACTTGATCTAGTCTCTGGATATTGACAAGTAGAAGTAAAGTCAGAAGACAGAAAGAAGATAGTCTTTGTTACTACCAATGATCTATATGAATTTAATGTGATATCTTTTGGATTAAATAATATATCAGCTATTTTTTAGTGCTTAATGAATAAAATATTTAAATCTTATCTTGGATAATTTGTAATTATTTATCTTGATGACACTAATATCTTCTCAAATATCTTTAAAAAGTATCTTACATATCTGAAACAAGTATTCAACAAGCTTAGAGAAAGTGATCTAAAACTTTAGCCAAGTAAATGTCAATTTGACAAAATCACACTATTATGAACTTAAAAATATTTTTAATTGTGATAAGTTAGCTTTCTATTAGCAACTTGAATCAAGCAAGATGTTTATATATACTCCTGTTTGAGGAAAAAAATTAAAAGATCAAATTACTCTTATGATTATTTATAATACTACTGGTGATGAAAAATTATCTCTTGTTTTTATTCATAAATATGAAATACCATGTGCACTTTGTGATATCAAAAAATTTATGCTTTCTATCTGGTATTATTAGAATAAAAAAGGGTGAATGTAGAGAAGTATTTTTAATTATTTTTTGTAATAATTTAATAAATAGATGAGATATATCAGATAAAATATTATTCTTCTTCTTGACAATACATCATCGCATAGTATAGAAATTATTCAAAGTCTTTCTAATATTCATGTATACTTTTTACTATCTAATATAATGTCTTGCCTTTAACCTATCAATCAAGAAATCAGTTATAGCCTCAAAGTAATTTTTCATGTGAAATTTACTGTATAAACTGCGTTAAATTTAATATAAATATTTATTATACTGTATTTTTCTTTAGGCATAATATTGGCATATTTTATGTCAAAATCATATTAATATTTATAATGCTATTACTGAAGAAAATCCAATCTTATCTAACATTACTATATATAATTCGATTAACTTTACAGTGCATGCATGGGAAAATATTATGGCAAATATAATTATTTGTAGTTGGAACAGGACTAATATTCTTCCATCTACACTGTCAACAGGAAATAATCTTGATTCTACATCTGAGGAAAGAGAATTAGAAATGGAGATTGTCAATCTCATTAAATAATTACCAATCAATGATTCTTTGGAGGTATGAGAATTCATGAATATAGATGATAAGATGAGTATTAGAGAAAGTGCAAGTATAGATGATATTGTAGAAATAATGAACGAACAGGAGGGAGGTGAATCAGAAGAAGAAGATAGGGAAATGGAAGTTAAAATGAATGATGCGATTGTAGGAGTTGATAATGTGGTAAAATATATATAACAAAACAATCTAGGAGTTAGTGCATCCTTAATGAAGGATTTACATAGTCTTAAAAGGCTTATTATGTACAAAAGTATTGAAAAGAAGAAGCAAGCGACACTAGAAAAATTTGTTGAGTTTTTGATTCAAACAGATGGAGGATAAAATTTGCTTGTGGATTAATAAAAGTGAACAATGATTGTAAGGCGTTCATAGTTTGAGCTAAATAAATATTAATTGAAAATCACCCAATAAGATTATAGATTACTTGATATAACGGAGTACTACGTAGCTTATTATGATATCCGTTATATCGTGAAAAACTCGATTTAACAGATCTCTCGATATAACGAAGAAAAGGGTCGGAACCGTAGTCTCCGTTATATCGAGTTTCACTGTGTAATTATAAAGAAATGAAAATAAAAAAAAATAAGAAATGAATAGATGAATAATAAAATAATATTTAGAAAACTTGATATAAATACAATTAGATTTCTTATCAAAGTTAAGCGAAAGTGAAAGCAAAAAATATATTTTTAAAGAATAGATAAATGAGATTCTCATTAAATTAAACATGTAAAAAAAGATAGCTAGTAAATTATGCATGTAATTCCCATTTGTAAATTTTCAAAATAAAATTAAATACAAAAGTTATTTTAATTGAGAGCTTCTGTAAAAATACATCAAGATTTTGAAATAGCATCGAAAACGTGAATTTTGAATGACATTAAAACAAATTAAAAATGATAAAATTTATATAGAATTGTTCATATATGAAAAGCAATATCTTGAAAAGAGATTGCAATTGTAATTATTCAAAAATAATTTCAAGAGAAAATTTTGCTAAATTGAAAATCTGAACAAGATATATTTTAATGACTTAGTTAAAAACAATAAATAGAGAAGTAATAAAGTATCGGCTATTATTTAAAAAGAAAACATGTATTAATTTTATTATTGAGATTGCAGTTTATCTCTGTCAGACCAGTAGAATTGCGAACAGCAAATAAAAGTTATTTTAAAAAAAATGTATATGCAAAATTATTTAATTTTGCTCAACTAAATGCGTTTCAAAAACAATTTACAAAATCGAACAAAATTCTGGCAAATATCTTCGCATTCAATGAACCAAATTGAATGATTTTGATACCATTAGAAGCTCTAGTTAAAAGCTTTCTAATGATAACAAAATTATTCAATTTGATTCACCGGATGTATAGATATTTGCATTCAAAATTTGCGATCACAAAAAAATTTCTGTATAAATTGTAAGAAATTTTTTATCGCAAATTTTGAATGTAAATATCTCTGCGGCCAGTGGACCAAATTGAATTATTTTAATATCATTAGAACGCCCTTGACTAGAACTTTCTAATGATACCAAAATCATTTAATTTGGTCCACTGAATGCGAGGATATTTGCCAAAAACTATTTTCTTCACAGATTTTGTACGTTGTTTTGAGACGCAATATCTCCGCATCTAATGAACCAAATTAAATAATTTTGGTACCATTAGATGCGCCTTGATTGACCTTTCTAACATTACCCAAATCATTTAATTTGGTTTACTGCATGTAAAGATATTTACATTTTTTTAAAATGATTTTTTTCTTTGAGCTTCTAGAAAAAATTTTTAAATAATGCTATATTTGATTTGCATCAGCCAATCATTGATCGGTTTACCCTTACAAAATATCCCGTGATAGTGAAAACTTCTCGCTACTGGAGTGGCTGTTGAAAATATTTATTCAAAACTCAGTTATCATAAATACATATTACTATATTAATTGATGAGTATATGAAAACAAGAGATTGCATTTATATTATTGATTATTATTATCATATTACTATAAAATTATAAAATTATCTAGTTTCTAATGGATTCATAGTAAAAAAGAAGAAATCATGTTCTCTTAACTCTCTTCACTAATGTACTTGTAGTAGCAGAAGTAAAAGTCACGGCAGCCAAACTTGGATCACAATGCCGTTCCTTTAGACACACATGGTCAATTAAATCATTATTCTCTTTTTGACTACTAATTCCCGCATCTTCGACTTTTCTCTTCGGTTGTTCAGAACCACCAAATCCATTAACTTCGACTCGGGTCACGTTTTCTTCTTCCAAACAAATTTCTTCGCAGTCCTCTGTTGATACGCCGGATTCGTGTGTTAAACATACGAAATCGGTTGTCTAATTTTTTGATCAAAAGTGATATTATTATGTAAAAAATGATTTTTTTATTTTTCTCGAAAGAAATTGATGACGTTAATTTAATTACCTCTTCTAGCGATATCATTGGGTGATGCCACACACCCGGGTTATAATTTATTCCTTGTGTACGAGATGCGATGAATGCTTTTAAGGTAGTCAAATCTGGTCTATCGTCTTAGATTGGTAAAAAATAATATCTCAATTAACCGACTTAGGTATATCATGAAGAATCAATACAATATTTCACGCACCATTTCCACTCAAGCAAACAATAACCAAATACCCTCTCATATTTTGTTTAGTCATTGGAATAAACATCTGCGACGAATATGAATGTCGTTCAAGCAATTTCACTTCAAATGGCAATTTGGTAGCCGGTTTACAGCGAAACACAGAAAGGTTTGGTTCAGCTTTCGCGATTGATTTTCCTTCACCATCCGTCAAAACTGTTTGCCGGAAATTAATTACACGTGCTATGTTATTGTATTTTCGTGCTGTGCCTTGGTTTGCAGGTGTAACTTTGATGCCGTTAATGATTGAGATTGATGTGGGTGAGACGTGATGTGGCTCGGTGAATGATTGTATTACTTGACCGTAAGCAGCGAATGCGCTGTGTGTTAATCTTTCTGCGACGATAATCCGTGGATTGAACTGATTGTTGGTGATGTGTGGATTGGAATGATGAATGACTGGATGTGATGGTATGTTAATTTGTAATTCCCTTCGGCCAAGTATACGCAATCTTTTTACTCCGCCATCTGTTTAGATTAAAAATCGAATTTTATTGGTTCTATTGAAAAAAATTAGATAAGAGAAGATAAATATACCTGGATAAATAGTCATCTTTACATGACTGAGTTTTTCTAAAACGGAGACCAATTTGAAAATATGTTGTTTATGCGGTCCAAGTTTTGATGGCCCAAGAATCTGTATCCACTCAATATCATCAGGGATTTCCTATTAAATATTTTATTCATTGTATATTAGGGATGGCTGCTGGGATGTTAAAAAAGCCATTACAAGAAAACAAGAAATCTAATTTACCGATTCGGAAAAGCATCCATCCAATCTAACTTCTTTGGGATAATTTCCCTTAAAATGAGCAGTATCGATTTCCGCAGTCTCCAAATAACCCGGCCGCCCCAATTTTACAATAACCCAATCATTATGATTTGGTTCGCGGGAACGCTTTGTTTCCCATCCATCACCCATATTTATCCCACGACCAGGCAATAAAAGATTATCCTTGCTTCCATAATGTTGATCACTGCAAGCGACCGCATGGCCTTCGTTACCGACAAATGCGAGATCAATTAATGCTGAAGGATCTGCAGGCAATATCGCACTTACTTTTCCGTATACTCGAAATCGCGCCTATTTTTTCATTAATTAGAAATAAGCTATTTGCAAGCGGTTTAGTGTAATTTAATATCTTCTTCATACATACCACACCACCATCAGGATAGATATTTAATTTAACATGCGTATATTTCAATTTCGTTTCGGATATACCGAAATAATGATGTGAAGTTGCGTTGAGATTTACTTTGGGTAAAAGCTCATCCCACTAAAATAAGCCAAAGATTAGGCATGAAATCATCATTAATTATCTTGAGATTACGTGCATGAGATAGATTTTTACCTTGGTCTCATCTCCAGGATCAACATTTGGTGAGTAACACGCGTTCACTGCGGCAGCCGGTGCTTGATTACCATTGAAATGCGTAGTGTCAATATCAAATCCGGCAATATGTCCTGCAAATCCTAATTTGATGATTACCCTATAAAGAAGGAAATTATGTTGAAAATCATCCACTTGTGAAACCAAATTTCAAAAAATTTCAAAAAAATTTACCAATCGCATTTTAAGGGATTATGTCGACGAGTTTCCCAACCATCCATCCAGGCACCATTTTCTATTATAAAAAGATAGTGTCCACGCTTTATTTTCTATACCCATAAATGCAACGTAAGTTGAACCGATATCTACCTGTATATTTGCCAATCTCCCTCACCGCATTTCCAGGTTTAAGCAAATTCTTCGCCTCAGCGAAAAATTCATCATTACAAGAAACAACTGTCGCGCCGAGTGATGCACTTGCCAAGTCTAAAGTAAATGAGCATTTTTTTAAGGCCAAAGATAGATATGGATAACTGAAGTTACATTCAAGTTTCAGTGCCTACCAACATATCGATAAGTTAACTTTTGTTTAGTTTCTTCGTCATTGATTCGAAGATAAATGAGATTAGTTTCGGTCATTTTTATGTTATATTAAACGAATTTCTTTTATTATTATTAATTATATCGCAAAAAGTAATATTTTTGTTCTATATCAAAAATAATGGAAGATATCCTTGCGGTTCTTCCCACCATGGGAACCCCTATTTATCCGGAAAGGAAGGATCCTTATCAACTGTCATCAAAATGAAAGTTGTTTATTGAAATGTAATTTCTACTTGAAGAACCTTTCAATAAATAATACATATTAAGTAAGGATAATTAATTAAACAGTTCAATTTTCAAAAAAATTCGTTATCTAATATCAAAAAAATGCACATGCAAGCGGTGCACATCAATCGTGACATCTGGTGACCTCGAGACAATGTAGCGGAATGCCACAACATAAAAAACACTTTTTTGAATGATCGAATAATAATCATTAGACTTGCTGTTTATATTTACATATTTACAATCAATTTATAATGATCAGCAAGGAGTTATGGAATTCGACTTTTAAATATCATGTATCGTTCGATATTGTCAAATGTTATTTTGGGTTTTTCTTGGCCTGCAAAATTGTCTTGAGGATCGTTCAGTATTTGTTGCTATTATTATTATTTCGATCGAGAAAAAAGAAATAAATAAAGTCAGAAAGATAAACAATATAACGAATTTATTTTATGTATATTACTAACCTTTTCCATTGTTTCCTCTGTGATTTTCTGTTCTATATGATGCTCGTCATCTTGTGGCCGATTTTTTCGGGTCGCCTCACGCAGATTTGAAAAGATTAGCAATTTTTTGCCAATAAGGATTTTAAGAATTACGAGACTATTAAGCAAAAGAAAACCAGCAACAATTAAGATATTTGATTTTTCAATTCAAATTACAAGAAAATTCTTTAATTTACACGCAGAAAAAAGTAGATCCACATGCGATCCATGAACTACGCGAAAATACTGCAATAGGCACATTGTTAAGATCATCGTCATCCATGTCGAAACACCAGTCATTGATCATGGTAATAGTCTGAGTAGCCACGGTAATCATCTATTCTCAGAAAAATTACGAAGATACTCAATTATAAGCAATAAATTGGGTCTTTCAAAGAATTTTTCTATTTACCAAACATGCCAATGGCAGAGGAGCGAATCCAATTCTTCGAGCTACATTCGGAGATCTATCAACAGTATTCTAATATGTTACATTGATAAAAATCGATTATTAAAGAGTATAAACAAACTAGCGCATAAAAAATACGTAGGTAACTTTACCCTTCTATTATGCTTTTCAATAATCACATCGCGACAAAGTACATCTACAAACTTATCATAAACACTCGGTCGGATCTGATTAAATTTTGTGATGAACGCGTGTTTCAACCAGTCGACAAGTAGCTCAGAAGCCATCACAATAAAAACAGGTGTTAACAGTGTTTCGATTGTGGTCATTTTTGGAAACAATGGGAAAAATGAGGTTGGCAGATTGGAGGATGTCGATGGCGGTGATCCAGAAAGTTCGATGAGATTTCGAACTGTTATTATGGTGAGAAAGAGTGCAAGTTGGAATCTTTCTACAATATCTGAAATTATTTGATTGTGATACGATTATTTAATTAACAGAAAAAAAAAAGCATTAATTGAGCTCGAACTTTTTTACCTGCACAGCTCAACTGAAACAAATTCTCTTTTTCGAATTTTTTAAACACCGAACTTTTAATTTCGATAAATTGATTTGATACCAATAATGTAAGCAATGCATTTGAGTATGAATTTATGGCAACATTTAATGTGATCACTTGATAACTCATAATCATCGTATGAGCCACTGTAAAAAACAAATTAAAAAAAGAATAGATCAAGTCAAGAAAAAAGAAAACCATCTCTTTTGATAAACAAACACAAACCGAATAAAATAAAACAAATTAAAGAAAAAGGATACAAATATACAAAAAGGATAGAACAAAAAATACCAGTAATCGAAACTGCTGAGTTACTTTACTATTAAGCGATAGACCCGCCAAAGTGGATTTGCAAGATAATGCGTCCAGGATGTCATTGCCAAAAGAACAACAAAGTCGATCAAGAATCTGCATGATTAAAGATGATTAGTTTTTTTTTAAAAGATTGAGGATATTCTCAAATTATTATTAAAGATTGCGAGAATCAAATAGTTACCTCAAGAACATTAAAAATAACATATAATTTTATTACCGCCTGGCCTCGAATCGAATGATACATTTGGGATGCATCAACTCGTTGAAGGGCAAGACAAACAAAAATAACTAGTAATCCTTTCAATAAGTCACATTGTTGCGACAAAGTCAAACTAAAAAATGTGCTTTTTAAGATCAAAAAGTTGAAGAGGAGCTGATCATAAATTCGAAAAATAATTATGTTCTGCTTTATTACCTTTCTGTTGTCCCATTTTTTAAACGTTTGAAAAATCCCATAAATAAAGTATACGAAGCAATAATGAATCTTAATGGGAGAAAAGTAAACGTGTATAAAAATGAATCCAGACACAAACACACCCCAAATATCATCAGCTATTAGTCATCAAGTGACGAAGAGAGAATTGAATAAATACAACTATTCAATTTAATGAACATGTAATACGGAACTAAAACCATAAAGAAACAAAAACCTTTTCTATCGCTATTGGTATTGTCAAAAAGTTTGTAACCCTCTCGGTGGTAATTTCCTCCGAGGGTTCAAAATCCAAAGCAGTAATTTCATCTTTTAAATAGTCCCATATCCCAAAATTTGGTATCTGTTGGCCCGAGTCAAGCCTGCTTTCTTTTTCATTCAATAGTCTTTGTTCTGTGTGATCAGTAGACAAACTCTTATTTTCTATACAGCTCCCTTTAGAATGCTCTAATAAATCTTTATCATCTTGAGTAGCCATATGTGAATCTGGTGTTAAAGGAGATTCTAGTGACATTTGATTAGTATCCGCCATATCATGGTCAATATCAAGTTGCGGAAACTGATTTATAAAGTTGGTCGAGTCTGATTCCTCAGCAGGAAGAACCGGTGACATTGTGGGAGAAAGTAGCGGTGATGTTCTAGAACCATTTGATGAGTTTTTATCAAGTAAAGTAGTAGCTCTTGGAGGAGTAGGCGGGGGTGTAATTGGTGCAGAAGCAACAAAAGAAACAGCGGTATTCATTTGTTGATCAGTTGAAAATCTTTGATCGAAAAATTATTTCCTGGAGATCATCTATGTAGAAAGGATCGAATTCTCGAATTACGCACTCACATGCAATCCAATGTTCAAAATAGGGGATCGTCTAAAGCGGGATAAAATCCCGTGAAATAATGCCGATTATGATTGGTCAATGCAGATAAAGATTCTGATTGGTCGAATCGATGATGAATCGAGATATCGTATGTTTTTTTATCATTTTTAAAATAGTATCAAACCATAGTAAATATATTAATTTCGGTGTTATCTGTAAGAAGTTTTTCTAATAACAATTTTAACTGTATTATATATCCCTTAGTGGGAATAACATAATTATGTTAGTTTAGGTTATGATGTGCAGATCGCAGAACTCAAGTCACTTGATCGATGATATACCCTTTGGTATCGTCAGATTACATATGATACGTTATATATCAATTTGGTGTTTTCGGTTGATTTTAAACCTAAGACGCTCTCCGATTTATGTTGTGGTAATTGTTAGGCACTACTCTGTATAATGTTTTGAAGCTTCTAGATTTTTAATTTCGATATCGAAATTCCTATAGTGAATGATGATTATATTCGATTTCCGTTATAAGGTGTCTCCCGATTTAGGTTATGGTAATTGTCAATGCATACCATGTCCTGTGATGGGTCGATTGTGATTTGCCATCATTTCGGAAGGCCGATAGCGAGGTAAGTGACGAAAAAATATAGGGCAGGTATGAGGCGCTATTTTCGATACATTTGTTAGTGTGTCAGGATATGTTTACTTATCTTCATCGCCAAATAATTTCTTGTTTATATATTGCCATTCTCTTTTCCCACCACCTATTTGTATATGCTTTTTTTTATTTCGATTGATGAAAACTTTTTTCCAAAACTAAAGTTATTTAATGGTTTTTTATTATTAATATCACACCAAGTAAAATATGATACAAATTTATCAAAATAACTTGATCAACTCTGTCTTCAGACCATAATAAAATATAATTAATTATAAATTGAATACAGGATAATTTAAAGATAACTACCGATTTGTATCATCAAGTATATAATTTTTATCATTACTTGTTATCTCATTAATTTGCACTTTTAATGTATCAATTTCAGATTGCATTTTTTGAATCTGTTTTTTTTAATGCAAGTTTGATTTATAGAATAACAATTTGCCATCTTAATGAATTAATTTTGGATTGCATAGTTGGATATACTTATTTTTTCATGACTTCAATACTGGAATATATATCAAAATATACTGAAATTTTTTGACTTAGGCATTACAAACTTGTCATAAGTACTTTTATAATAGTTTTTATGTGATTTTAAGAATTTAAGAATTTAAAACTGTTTTATTTCTTCTTAATTATTATCATAAGTTACTTAAGTAAAATAGTAAAATTCTAGAGAAAAAATTAAAACTCTTTCTTATAATATATCTTTGATATATATACTTGATATATTATATACTTATGATATTTATATATTATATATATACTTAATATATAATATATATCTATCTTTAATATATATCCAATATATAGTATATAATCTTATTCAAATTTTTTTAGCTAATATATAGTCAATAAGTAATCATACTATTAAATATTAAATTAAAAGACTTTAATAATCTTATTTTTGTAAAAGCTCTTATCAAAAGAACATATAAAATAATTAATAAACTTGAGATTATATAAGAATTAATTCTTAGTAATATTCAAGAAGAATAGTTTAGATAAAAAGAATGATATGATAAGAAATAAAAATCAATAATTTTTCAAATAGAATAGAAAATATTAATGAAATAAATAGAAACTTAATATTAATATTATGATAAGTTTAATAAAAAATAAAAAGAACTATATTCATAAAATTTATAACAAAAATATTTATAAATTCTAAAGTCGGAATAAAAAAATCTTGAAAAATCTTTATAATAATGATTACTTAAAGTTATATATTAAGTTTAATAATCTAGAATTAGTTATTATAATTGATAATAATTAAAGATTTATAGAATAAATCTCTTAAAATTAAGAGTTTTATAATCAATTAGCTATTATAAATAGTATAGTAAAGTAATATAATATATAATATAACATATGATATAATTAATAATTATTTTTAAATCAAACATACAAAAAGTTAATAATAATTAATTTATTTAATTTATAATTCTATTATTAATTTAACTTATTACTTATATTTAATTTTATTTATTTATTAATTATAAATATAATTTAATCATATATATTATACTAATTTATAATTAATAATTTTCTAATTAGTCATTGATTTTTCTTTTTTAAATTATAATTTCTTTAATATTTTACTAATTTTAATTTTTAATTACTTTATATTTAATTTAAAAAAGTTTTTTATAATAATTCTTTCAAAATATTATTTATTTTTAAGTAAATTAAATGAAATATTATGTTAAAAATAATTTATACAGTGATGCTCAAAAGTAATGCATCACTAGGATGAAAAAATGAATCATAAAATTTTTAGTAATATAGATGCTATAGATAAATAAAACTTAGCCCATATATAGTTAAAAGTATAAATAAATAATATATATAATTTAAAGAATAAATGTAATATCACTTTGCTTAACTTGGACTTTATTATACCAAACTGATGATATATTTCTTTTGATCATTTTTCCTCTCAAAACAAATATATAAATAGATAAAAAATATACAATAAAACAAAATATATCTCCTATAAATAAAATACACTTATGAATTTATGCTTTTATCTTGTATAATTAAAATTATTATGACACATATTCCTGTCAAAAAAAGATTCCAAATTTATATCCTTCTTAAAGAAGGATATTTTTCCCATTATATTACAAATCATAAAAATATTTCTTAATCCTCTATTATAAGAATAAAACAAAAAAAAGATATTTATAATATCTTTAAAGATTTACCAAAATCAGATCATCCTAGAATTTTTACTAAACATGATAAATGAAATATTATACATTTAATTTTGAATGGTAGTTTTCCTACTGCAACATCTATTCAAAAAAAATTAAAAACTAATAATAAAATTGATATTAGCACAAGTATAATAAAGTGAACTTTACATCATAATAGTCTTTCTTTACAAATTAAGTGAAAAAAACTATATCTCAAAAAAATATATTGAATTTAATGTTTAAAATTTGTGAAAAAATATCATCATTAGATTATTAATAATTAGAATAAAGTTATCTGATCAGATGAATCAAAATTTATGATTTTTAATTCAGACAGATATGAATATTACTAGAAATATGATGATGAATTTTTGAAAGAATATCATATAAAATCTACAGTAAAATTTAGAAGTAGAAATATAATAGTTTGGGATTACTTCAGATTTTTCAGCATTGATAATATTGTATGTATTTATGATTATATAAATAAGAATTTATATCATGAAATCTTAAATAATGATCTTTTAGGAATAATCCAATAGTATGAAATTAATAAAAATAATGTTATCTTTCAATAAGATAATAATTTAAAACACATAGTAAAATCTATATATGAATAATTTGATGATAATAATATCCATTTGCTTAATTGACCTGTTCAATTATCTGATCTTAACCTAATTAAGCATTTCTAGAATAAAATAGATCATTGTTTGAGAATATTATCAACTGATATCCATACTCAAGATCAATTATGAGATATGATATAAAAAATTTAGATCAAAATTGATAACATATTTTTAATGAAGCTAATTGAAAGTATGAAGAAATGTATTCAAGATATAATTAATATAAAGAATGACTATACTAGATAGTAATTAAAATTAAGAATTAAATTTTCATAAATTTATTTAGTTTAGTGAGTAATCTTAATTTTATTTTTATTTATCAAAATGATCAAAAGAAATGAATCACCTGATTTGATGTAAAATGTGATTTATTTTTTTTTAAATATATGATATGAAAAATAAATATGATATGATATTTTGTCCATGTATAGATATTATAATAAGCATATTTATATATTGATTAATATTATATATGAAATATTATTAAATTATGAAATTTATCATCCAGATGATATAATATTTTTGAACATCACTATAATTAGTATAACAAGAAAATATTATATATAGAGAGTCAAGAAATAATTAAAAAGAATAATTAAGTTTGATAAAAGTAGTTAATTACTGAGTTAAAAATAGTTAACTAATATTATTCTTATAATAAATATATATATTTTATATATTATTTTTATTTATTTTCTTCTTGCTCTATTAAGAAAGTATTTTATTAGAAGTTAATATTTATATAAATAATAAATACTATTATTATTTTAAGATTATGCATATATAATTATTTTAAAATGATAATAATGATTATATTCATGATAATTATTTACTTTTTATAACTTCAAGAAGTTATATAATTAATTATTCTCTTAATAAAATAATATATATAAGATTTACTTCTGATAAAATATAATTATCTTCTTAATAAGATAATTTATATGTGAATTTACTTTTAATAAAATTTAATTATCTTTTCAATAAGATAATTTATGTAAGTTTATTTCTAATTAAAATGTTCTCTTAATAGAACAAGAAGAAAATAAGATAAGATATGTGATAAAGTATATATATTTATTAAAGAAAATACTAATTAACTACTCTTA